ACGAAAAATATAGAGCCCTGAAGAAGACACTCGGGGCAGGACAAGTCTTTCTATGCCCCTTCCATCACCCCCACGAGGGACACACGGCACGTCCCGGGGAAATCCCTGCTGGCTCCGTTTCCCAGCCCCTCTGCCACGGCTTCTCGGTCTGTCCTCATCGTCCGGGCAGTCTGCAGACGCTGCCCCTGGTGGCCCTGCGTCCTTGTCACCGTGGCCCTTCTCGGAGCAGGGCAGGGCCAGCTTCGGGACTCAGTTTCCCCTCCGGCCCTTGAATTCTCGCTTTTGTAGAGCGGCGTCCTACACGCCGGTTGCCTTCCGCAGGGACAGCTTCATTCACCGGCGCCTGCCTTTTGGCTTCTCTCTGGCTCAGCACAGTGGGTCTTGAGTGAGCCAGGTGGGAGGGGGAAGATTCTAGAACAGGGCAGCGAGAGGCAAGAAAGAAACGAGCCATCGCTGTTGGCGGCTGGTCTAGCACGAAGACGCGATGTGTAGTGGCAACTCAACTCCAAGGCACAGACGCGACCTTCCGGGGAGTGTCGCCCAGGAGTCCTGGGGCCAGTCCCAGAAAAGCAGGCGGGGCACCAGCAGGTGACCCCCGAGAGATCTCACTGACACTGGCCGTCTCGAAGGCCGGCCAGGCGAAGATTTTACTCACAAGCTGCACAGCTAGCAGAAAGGGAGAGCATTTGTGCTCATGCGCAGTCATGAAAACTGGAATTAGTACCATAGGGATGGATGGACATTGAACTTCCAAGCAGACGCCTGGAGACAAGAAACGCTGTAGTTAATTAAGAGCACGGCTTTGGGACAAGAGAGACTTGGGGACAAAGCCTGGCGTCAGCATCTCCTGTGCCCTCTTTGGAAAAGACCAGAGGGGAAGGGTGGAGACTGAGATCCAGCCCTCGCCTTCTGGAAGGTCATGCCTCCGGCTTAACCTTTCTGGGCCTCAGTTTCCTTTCTGGCAAAATAGGGACGATGACAGTTGGTTGTCATGAGGATTAACGTGAGAATGGGTGGAAAGGCACTGGCCACCGCTGTCTGTGTGGCTCTGGGTGGTGAGAGGCGACAGAGACGCGACAAGGGGGCTGGGACCGGCCCTCTGAATCGAGCGCCCTCCACGCCCGCCCAGGGGGGCCTTCAAGCGAGATGGTAGACAGACGCCTGTCTTGGTGGCTTCACCTCCATGTCAAGGGAGTGGCTTTTTAGGAAGTTACAGTTGGTTCCTCTTTGAGTTTGTGCAAATTTTGTTCGAACCCTGAACACATGTGGAGTCACCTTCTTTGCTGAGCTCTGTGGATTGGCGGGAAGAGCCAGCCCATCGGGAAACAAATCGATGTGACTCTCCCTGGGGGCTGGGGGGGACAGGGCTTTGCTGCCGGCCCACTGGGCTGTCCCCACACCCTGTGCACAGAGGGGATGTCCCAGCGACTGAGAGCCCGGGCCCCACCCCTGCCGCACAGCTGGAGGCCGCAGAATGGATCTGACAGCTGCCTGGGGAAGGCAGATTCCTGTTGCTCAGATCCATTTCTTGGAAACCTCCCTTTCTGGGGCATTTCTTCACCAGCCCTCACTCGGGCGGGAATGGGGAGAAAGAGCAGCCCCGGGCTGGCTAGGCAAAGCCACTTCGGGACCGTGGAGCAGGCAGAGAGGGGAAAGCACTCTGCTATGTTTCAAAGGTTAATTGACGGCCGGGCGCGGTGGCTCACGCCTGTCATCCCAGCACTCTGGGAGGCCGAGTAGGGAGGATCGCTCAAGGTCAGGAGTTCGAAACCAGCCTGAGCAAGAGCGAGACCCCATCTCTACTAAAGACAGAAACAAATGAATTGGCCAACTCAAAATATATAGAAAAAATTAGCCGGGCATGGTGGTGTATGCCTGTAGTCCCAGCTACTCGGGAGGCTGAGGCAGGAGGATCGCTTGAGCCCAGGAGTTTGAGGTTGCTGTGAGCTAGGCTGACGCCACGGCACTCTAGCCTGGGCAACAAAGTGAGACTCTGTCTCAAAAAAAAAAAAGGCTGATTGACACATGCGACATCTCCTCGTTTCGTGAAGCAGTGACAGGAAATGCAAACGGATAGTGCCCACGCGGCGAGACTCCATTCCGTAAGACATTCTATATTCTCGGCTGCAAGACTTGCAAAGTCCATTGGCATATTAGAGCCTCTGTGATGTTGGACCACAAAGAAACTATTAAACTCATTGTTTAACCCAGTGACTCCAAAACATCCGATCACAGAACCCTTCTGCTGAGATGTCAGCGAATTTTCTGGAACCCCTTTGGAGAGAGAGCAGAGTCGGGGGTTCCTCTCGCCCGCACTGGGCCTCTTCGAGTGCAGGGGGACGGGGCTTTCATTCGTCCCCCCGGCCAGACCCCCCTCGTGCAGGGCCCGGCTGCACGACAAAGACAGCAGCCTGTCTGGGAAAGGACACGTGGGCGACCCGGCCATGCTCAGACCCTCCTGACCGGGTCCCGAAAGGCCACACTTGTTACTGTAGTCTCTCTTCTCAGTTCAAGCTTGGGAACGGAGCTTCCTTGAGAAGGTGCACGTGGAAACGATTGGAAACCATGTATAGTCTGGAAGTTTCTGTACCAACCAGCCACCATGAAGGGCTACGCAGGACGCCCCTGGCAACTCTGGATTCCAACTCAACACAGGAGCCCTTGAACACTTTAAAGAAACTGATCTGCATTGCTTTATTTAAAAAAAAATTCTAAAGAAGACAGAAGAATGGCCAACAAACATATGAAAAAATGCTCAACATCTCTAATCATCAGGGAAATGCAAATCAAAACCACAATGAGATATCACTTAACTCCAGTGAGAATGGCCTTTATCAAAAAGTCTCCGAACAATAAATGCTGGCGTGGATGCGGAGAGAGAGGAACACTCCTACACTGCTGGTGGGACTGCAAACTAGTTCAACCTCTGTGGAAAGCAATATGGAGATACCTTAAAGCGATACAAGTGAATCTACCATTTGATCCAGCAATCCCATTACTGGGCATCTACCCAAATGATCCAGTGACACTCTACAAAAAAGACACCTGCACTCGAATGTTTATAGCAGCACAATTCATAATTGCAAGGCTGTGGAAACAGCCCAAGTGCCCATCAATCCAAGAATGGATTAATAAAATGTGGTATATGTATACCATGGAGTACTATTCAGCTCTAAGAAACAATGGTGACATAGCACATCTTATATTTTCCTGGTTAGAGCTGGAACCCATACTACTAAGTGAGGTTTCCCAAGAATGGAAAAACAAGCACCACATATACTCACCAGCAAATTGGTATTAACTGAGCAGCACCTAAGTGGACACATAGGGACTACAGTAATAGGGTATTGGGGGGGGGGCCGGGTATAGACGTGTATAATGAGTGAGATGTGCACCATCTGGGGGATGGTCATGCTGGAGATTCAGACTTGTGGGGGGAGGGGGAGAAATGGGCATTTTCTTTGAACCTTAAAATCTGTACCCCCATCATATGCTGAAATAAAAAAATAAAAAAAGGAAGGGAAATGCCCCAGCCAGGCATTGCAACAGAAAGTCGGTGATAATTGAGACCAGCAGGAAGGAGACCCTGCGTGTCCGCTCCAGCCAGTTTATTGCTCGGGTTCCAGTCTGCCTGTCTGGCGTCTGTCCTCTGGCTTTTGGAGTGGACGTGTTTTCCTGGAATATGCATTTATTGAATTCTGCAAGGCCAGATCGCCCATGCAGATTAATTCATGATTTCAAAGACGCTTTGAAGCTGGCAAAACATTCTGTTATTTCCAAGAGTTATTACGACTGAAATCCTGACACAGACCGAGAGTTCAGCCCGTAATCTTATTTAGATCCTTTTAAATTTAGAAACTCTACAGTGTGTTAAAAATAGATCCCATTTGTGTACTTTTTCCTCCTTTCATCCCTACTTCAAGGGGCTGTTCGGTCATTTTGACCCACCCCCAGATAGTAAGTAGCCAGAGAAATTCTCACACTTGTCACCTAGGAGCCAGCCGGTCTAAAACCAAAGTCATTTCCAAGTGGGTTTTGGGGTGAAGGTCGTCATAGGACTAAAGCAGAGTTGCTTATCATCCTACATAGTAAGTTCTAGAATTAAGAGCAAAAGACTGTCACTAAGACCAGTTAGTAGTGCGCAGATTCATGGTAAGTGAATGGGCCACAGGAGAAGTTTTCAATCGCGCTATCCTGGAGGGCTTGTGTTCTCCACCCAATCAGAAAAGATCACAGTGCTCAGGGCAGAGGAATCTGCACGAAACTAGAGGGTCAGGCTGCTTTATCACCAAAAGGTAACTAAAAATTGCCCCAATTTTAGAAGAGCCAGGATTAACACGGTGCCGGCATTTTCATGCCCAGCAAAGAGAACGTTATTACACTCGGGATTACTTCTTCATGGTTACTTTACCTTCATGAACATGCTAAATCCAGTTTTAAGGAGATCAGTGAGGCCTGAAGACATGTGTTCAATATCAACGGGATCCGGCTTCTCGGGATTAAATATTTCCTCCACAATCTGCTTCAGCAGTGGCTTATAGGATGCCTGGAAAGACAGAATATTGTGTTGTAAGTAAGAGGGTTGGTTTGGATTGTCTGGGGAGAGGACAGCTTTATCTGCACCAAAGGAAGCAAAGCAATTTTGTTTTGATACTGAGAAATGGCTATGAGCTTGTGTGTGTGTGTGTGTGTGTGTAAAGACAATATAACAACACTGGGCTTTTTGATAAACTTTCACCCCAATGCTTTAGCACTTTCTTCTGCTTCTCATACTGCCTTTTATAAGCAAATATCTCCTCCCAGAGCTACAATCGTATTATAACTAACTTTCCAATCTAGATTTATTTTTATTTATTTATTTTTTTTGAGACAGAGTCTCATTCTGTTGCCCAGGCTAGAGTGAGTGCCGTGGCATCAGGCTAGCTCACAGCAACCTCAAACTCCTGGGCTCAAGCGATCCTCTTGCCTCAGCCTCCCAAGTAGCTGGGACTACAGGCATGCGCCACCATGCCCAGCTAATTTTTTTCTATATATATTAGTTGGCCAATTAATTTCTTTCTATTTTTTTATAGTAGAGACGGGGTCTCGCTCAGGCTGGTTTTGAACTCCTGACCTTGAGCAATCCGCCCGCCTCGGCCTCCCAGAGTGCTAGGATTACAGGTGTGAGCCACTGCGCCTGGCCCTGGAATGTTCTTAAGGCTATGGACCAACCTTGCTCATAATAAGAGAAATTCAAATGAAAGCTATGCCAAGATAGATTTTTTTTTTTTTAATGTATCACACTGGCAAAGATCCAAAAGTTTGAAAATACAGTCTTTTGATGAGGCCATGGGGTAAGAGGCCCTTTCATACATTGCTGGTGGAGAGTTGATCAATGCAGAGAGCAATCTGGCAATACCCATCAAAATTATAAATGCACTTGACCTAGCAATTGTATTTCCAGTAATTCACTCCTTGGATATATGCATGCATGCAAATGAGATCCATGCACGGCTGTTTATGGTTTGTAAGAACAAAAGATTGGAAACCACCCAAGTGCCCACCAGTAGAGAGCGTTTAATAAATGGGGCACATTCACACAACAGCAAGAAAGACCACTTTGCATTTGTTAAAAATTAATTATTTATGCATGGGAAAAAAAAAGTTGGGGTAAAGCACACCAAAATGTTAACTAGGGTTACCTCTAGGTTCAGGAAGTAGGACATATTTCTTTTCCTTTTTTTCAAATTTTCCAAAATTAACAGGTCTACTTCTGGACTCATAAAATAATTCAGTAAATATTATTTTAAACATTAAAAAGAAAAAGGTCACGGAGTGGCTTATGAATTCTAAAAATACTCTTCTCTGAGTAAATGGTCTTGAGAGCACTTTTATCATCTTAGCCTTTCTGGACATTTATTTGTTTAAACTTTAATCTCTTGAAAGCTTTTTCCCCCGAGGAGAAGTCCTTCGGCCAGTACTCTGCTACCTCACCAGCATTATCATCAAATATTGATTGGCCTCTTCCTTAGTAATAGACTTCAATTTTCAGCTAGGCATGTTATCAACTGGCTGAAAGATCACATTATCCAGCCTTCCTTGCAGCTGGGTGTAACTATGTAACTAAGGTCTGGGCAAATGAGATGCAGATACAAGAGTAATGTGGGACTTTCAGAACTCTTCTTTTTGTTAATAAAATGGAAGGGTACACTCTCCTCCCATTTCTCTGTTCTGCTCCCTGGAATGCGGAAGTGGTGGCTGGCGCTCCAGCAGCCACGTTGGAAGGCAGGGCCATTCCGTAGCTGGCGGAACCCTGGTTGGTAGGGCTGCTGTTAACCATAACCCGGACAGGCGAAGTCAGGACCTCTCTATATGACAATAGAAAGCCTCGTAGGTTTAAGCCACTATCTCTCAGATCTCTGCTACTAAAAAACAGATTGAAATTCCGACACAAATCACGAAAGGAATATAAACACGAAAAAGGTCATTCCTTCCTCCCAAGAGCTTACGGTTATTTTTTTTCTATCGGCCTATATACAAAACTAGTTACATAAAAGAACTTTCAGCAGAATGACACAGATAGGCTGTCATATATAAGAGAGTAGAAAAGATACCCTTCAACCTACAAAAAATAAGAAATCTTGTTGCTCTCCATAGAATACACCTTGTGTAAGAGGGAAGTGTATTGATTCTGAGAAGAGCTTGGACACAGCACAAGGGTGGCTCTGTCATCAAGCTAAAACACAAGGCACAGTGTCCCCAGTGTGACAGGTGGTTCTCTGGGCTCCGGAGGCCCCAGTGTAGACTGGGACGAGAGGGGAGAGAAGGAGGTTTAGAGGAGTGAGGGAGGGCAGGGACACTCGGATCTCCCTTTACTCCTAGGTGCTGTTCCTCCAGTCCCCTCCTCAAAGGGCCAGAAACGTGCTAAAAAGGCCCAGGGGTGGGGTGGGGGGATTAGTCATGTGATTTCGTTCCACATTAAGAGGGTAAATCATGGGAATTTCATTTTCCTAATCCAACACTCTCTACCAGCTCATCTTACTTTACTTGGGTTAAGGTTTGGGGAATGAAGCGCCCGGAAGCAAATAGCTCTTCCAAATCTCTGCCTCACCCCTGCCTTGACACCTTCATGCTTGGGACTTTGGTGTTATTGAGGAAGGTCGGAAATCTTTTTTTTAATTTTATTTAGAATGAGAAAAGAAATCACAGTTTAAATACAGAAAGTAACAGATAGTAAGCAACGCACATAATCCAGAAAAATAACTTAAATCTTCTTACTCATTAACTACCTGACATTTTTTTTTTTTTTTTTTTGAGACAGAGTCTCGCTTGTTGTCCAGGCTAAGTGAGCTGCGTCGTCGCCTAGCTCACAGTAACCTCCAACTCCTGCGCTCAAAAGCAATCCTCCTGCTCAGCTCCCGAGTAGCTGGGTACAGGCATGCGCACCATGCCCGGCTATTTTTCTATATATTTTAGTTGGCCAATAATTTCTTTCTATTTTTAGTAGAGGCAGGGTCTCACTCTTGCTCAGGCTGGTCTCGAACTCTGACTGAGCGATCCTCCGCCTCGGCCTCCCAGAGTGCTAGGATGACAGTCTGTGCCCCAGCCTTCCCTCTTTAACCTTTGCACTCGCTTACTTTTTTCTCGATTCCTTTATTCTACTCTTGGGATTTAATTTTTAAATACCCCAGATTTACAAAGCGCTAGCAGATAGGAATCTCTCTGTGCACTTCCAATTTTATTGCGTTTTTTTTTATTGCAAATTATTGGTACATTCAATGAGCCTCTAGTAAGTGTCTCTGTCGAGTCTCTATAATCTTTGCCGAGCGAGACTTGACATGCTCGCGAGCAAGAGGGAAATGGTTGATGCACTAGACCCATTCCAAACTGGCTTAAAAAAATAGCACACTTACACAAAGTACGAAATAAAAAAATGCTTGTACTCTGTCTCTGGTTACTCTTTTGTGCTGGAGAGAAGGTTCATTGAGTCTAAAACTCTTTTATTGACCTGAGCTCTACTTCTGGTGGAAAGTACTGAGGACAGCACGCGCTTCTAACATTCCACAGCATAAGTAGAGGCAATGGCGGAACTAGTGCACTACAACAATTCTCTTTGAACTTGGTGCGCCTTAAAGATGGCGCACCGTCGGATGTCAGTTTCCAAGTTTCAGCCTGAAGTGTCGCCACGGTCTCCACTCTCAGTTTGGCTGGCCTTGTCCTTTGTCCTTGTGTTTGACCAGGGCCTCTGATCCGCTGGCGAAGGTGCTCGCTTCTCCCTTTCCTGCAAATTGACTCTGAACAACCTCTTTCAGGAAAACCAGGCCTGTGAGAGGGACATCATTTCGTTTCCAAGACTGCACTGAAAAAGCAGCTGTCCAAAACTGGTTCATGGCTTGTTTAGTTTGTTGTTTGTATGCTATGACTGATTTCTTTCCCTTCATCTTCTTAAAGGAAATGGTTTGCTCACAGATTTAAAAGTGGTTCACTTATCTACTCATCCATGCATCGATCCATTCTTCCATCCAGAAGCAGATTATTTTCCAAAAAATTCGAGTATAGTCCTTCAACTTCCGTCCTCAGGAAACAAAACCGAAGACACTGAGGAATTAGCTTGGTCCACACCAGCCGGTCAGGAGCAGGCTACAGGACAGAGCCACGTGTCCTGGCTTTTGGTTTAGTCCTAGCCCACGCTGATTCCTTCCAAAAGGGCACTAGCAGGCCTGGAGTTAGGCAGGTACAGCCAGGAGGAGGGACAGAGTTCAGCACTTGGAAAAGAACAAGGAAAAGGGCTGGGCTTGCTGCAAAGAAACCGAGCTCCAGACAGCTCAGGGAGCTGTATTCCACATGGGCACGGAGATCAATCAAGTCTCCTTGGGCCCTGCCAGTCCTAACTGCCTTGTTCAACGTGCCAGAGCGCAAACGCACACAATCTGGAGCAAGTTTTCCCGCGCAGCGCTGCTCTTTTGAGATCCACGCCAAAGCAAGTCATGCAAAGAGACCACGGTATTTGCCTGAAAGGTCCCTAAGCCCCTGGCCCTGCGACATCTGCCTGATGTTCTGCAGCTGAGGAACACAACAGGCCCGTCACACTCAGTGGCATGGAACGATTAACCTCCCAGTTGAACTGGACATGTGCAGTAAGGACCGAGAGGACAAGGACTTGCTGCCCAGCCATGGTGGTGGGGGGCTTTAGGTTTCCGTGAACAGAGTCAACACAACCTTTCCAACAGACGGTGCCTCTACCATTCATAGCAGCTAGCAGGACACTCAGCTTTAGAAGACACCCTTATCGAATGCCTTGCTCTCCTCTTGCCCTTCTTACCACTCGCGCTTGACCAGTCTTAAAAAAAAAAAAAAAAATGCAAGGTCTGGGCAAGGTGACTCACGCCTTAATCCAGCACCTGGAGCTGAGGCGGAGACCGTCTAGAGGTCAGGATTCGAGACCAGCCTGAGCAAGAGCAAGACCCCCATCTCTACTAAAAAAAAAAAAAAAAAATAGAAAGAAATTAGTTGCAATTAAAAATATATAAAAAAAGCCGGCATGGTGGTGCATGCCTGTCACCAGCT